ATTTGCTTAAGAGCTCTTGCAGAGTGGGGATCAGAGCTGGGTTCAACTGCTTGGGAGTGTGTACTGACAGGAGCAAAGCGAGTGCCCGCAGGTCCTACAGAAATCCAAGCAGGAACATTTCAAATTCTACAGCCAACATTCTGACCTAAACTGTTCACTACTTATGCAGGGCTCATTTCAGAAAGCCATTCTGGGTTTCCTGCCATTTTCACAAGAGTGCTCCATCCAGAGGGCCACTGTTCCTTTAACTCCCCAATCCAATCGGTGCCGGAGCACTGGTGAGGAGCACTACCAGATCAACCACAGGCAGGCGCTCCCATCCGCCGCCTCCTCCCATGTGACTGTGAAAACCTGCGGGAGGGTCAGCGATGACTCAGCTCCGACTCGATGGTCTATACCACCTCCACCACCATCTGCAGCTCTGACCTTGTGGGTAAGAAGCTGTGCTGGGACTCGTGGGCTAGACAGGCAAGTTACAGCCTCTGGAAAACCCACAGAAGGCCACTGGTTCATCCTGACTTGAGAGCAGGAGAGCGCGGGACAGTCCACAGAGCTGCTAACGCAAAGGCAGCACCTCTGGCGGTTCAAACCCCCCAGGAACTCCTCAGGCGGAGGGCAGCCTCCTGTGATGCCCAGGCCCTAAGAACCAGCGGAGCATCAGCTTGGAACCGGTTCTGCTTCCGCGGCAGTGAAGGAGTGAACACCATTATTTAATGAGCCACCTCTAAGTAAAAAAAGACTCAAAATAGCAATTCCTACAAATGGGAAAAAAGTCAATAATGGAACTAAGCCGACTACACAGGTATACTGAAAGGTTAGTGGTTTATGAGAAGCCTGGCTGTTTCGGTCTTGTCTAGAATCAGTCTCTCTGTGTGGACGTCACAAAGCCAGCCTCCCTCACTTAGCTGTGTCTGTCTCGCATCGAACCTCTGCTCATTCGGGAGGGAACTGATGAATGTTTTAGCAGACGTCTCCAGAGTGTTCCATCATTCTGTGGCATGACCATCAGTCTATGTAAGGCAACTGATTTCTTAGTTTAACTGACTTTATAATCAATGATAAACTATTATTTCACTTATAAGACATAGGAAGTAATAATAAAACTACACAAGTCATGCTTCACAAAATAAACCAAGTGGGAGATAAAGACTTTTCTTAGCAGCCCCACTGCCTTGAGTATTCAAGAATATTAGCTCCTGTCTTTAAAGGAACACACAGCTATGGTGCTATAAAGCACAGAAAATGTTAAAAACCTCAGGGTTTGTTTTTTTTTTGTTTTAATAAGTGGCTTTAAAAGTTTGAATATTAGGGGAGCTTTGATGGCCTAGTGGCAAGAAGCTGTACTGCAATCCCAAAGGTACATGGTTCAAATCCAGCAGATGCTCTGCCGGAGAAGGAAGGACAATTTCCTCCTGTACCAGTCAGATCTGATTTGACGGTACATGCACAAAAAATAAAAAAAAAAAAGTCTGAATATTAAAAAAAGCAAAAAATAGTTGCTTTAAAGGGACATTTTAAAGTATGTAACTATTCCCTAGCATACTTACCCCATTTAAAGAAGCACTTGCTTTGGAAATTTCAACTCGATTAGTGAAATCAGATTGTAGGTTCTGATACTGATTTATCAAGTTTGTAATGAGGGTACTGATCAAATTGGCACAGTTTGCTTCAGAAAATACTTGACCTTGAACCTGAAAGATTAAAAAACAAAAAAATAAAACCAACCACAAAACAACAAAAATCAGTATCATGAAAACATACATTCATTAACTAAAAAAACACTATGCATTTCCAAAGCGTTCCATACCTTTAGCAGAAAGTGTGTCATGAACGTGTAGACAATGTTGTTGTTCAGGAAAGTTCTCTCATCCATTAGGATGCACTTGATATATTCTGCGAAGACAGGATCTTCACACAGGAGCTTGATGCAGTTCTTTGACATAGCAGACTGCAGTGGGGAGAAGACACTGCTAGTGAGCAATGAAGGATGTGGAAACCTCATGGTACTTCTGACAATACATATCTGGTGTCCTTTTAAATCCTATTTGAAAGGCAACTTTTAACTCAATCTGCTAACATTCTAGTTAAAAGTAGCCGTCCTCAATACAGGTGAGTGTTAAAAAGCCCCACAAAAGTCTGAATAGCAAAACTGGAGACTTAGCAGAGGCTGGACAGACACAGCTAAAGGACCTGGAAGAGAACGCTACTGGGAGCTATCTGGAGACAACGTAGAGGGGATGAAATCACAGGAAACACAAATTTAAGAATGAAAATCTGGTTGTTCAAACAGAGTATAATCTTATGAATAATTTGGTGAATACCTCCTCACCCCCAACAAATATTAAGTAATAGCAAGTCTCCTTCCTTAATTCTCTTCTTCAAAGAGTCTGCGGCCCTAAGAGAACACTCTCGAGGGATGCCGGGAACACTCTGGAGGGAGCTGCACCTCAGTGAGTCTGGGGCTGGTTTTGTTCTATTTTTTAAATTAAAAAAAATGTTACTAAATATGGTTTTCCTGTTTTCAAATGGTAATGGTTCTTAAACACCTGTAGTGTGTTTTTAAGCAGATCTAGACACATTCTCTTAATTGTCCGTGACCTCCAGTGTAGAAAATGCATTCATGCAGCCCCTGGCTGCCCCTCACACAGGAAGGTGGCTTCTGCACGCCCAAGGCACTTGTGAAGCTGTAGGTGGTATGGCAAAATTTAAGAGCACTTGATGGTGAATATTGCGAGAAACAGCACAGCAAAGGGAATGGTGGTGTCCAGGGGGAAGAACCAGAGAGCACAGGCAGGTCCCAAACCAGCGCCGGTCCCGGCTCGTGGCCAAGTCTCAACAGGTGCATCCAATTCTTAGCCTTAGCTGAACTTCTGTGATGGAAATTTACAAACTTTCCCAAGAAACAATTCCTATCAATTCTGTTTCTTGACATTGACTGCAATTTTATTTAGCCTAACCTAAGCCTTTTCCATCAACTGAAGTGCACATGCAGTAAGTGGCTGAAGTTTTTAGGAAACGACTCAACATTACTAAGAGACAAGTTGGCTGTTCCCATTGTGGTGATCGTCTGTAATGGGCAGTGGCAGACGAGAAGCTAAAGCAATTACACACATGAGGAAACAGGAAAGAGCCTGGAGGTCGCGGCTGGCAAGCAGAGCACTTGCTGCTCCTGTTTATAAAGAGGCCGCTCAGGACGAAGCACCTAGTCCACAGCCGGACACCTAGTAAACCACTGGAGCGCGGTCAGGCCTTTCATGTCTGATCTCTCAATGAACAAAACCTGGGGTAGAAGTGGGCTTCTCCCGGCCCTCTGCACCCAGCAGCCTCCGGCACGAAGGGACAGTCTTTTCTGAGATTATCCTCATTAAGGGGACTCAGGAAGGCCTGAGTGGGACAATGACACACAGAAGCAGGATCCTCAAGGACCGACTGTGGCAGGGGCCTGTGAGGAGACGCATCATCTTCCAGCACCCGGACCTGGACCTGCCCCACCACCCACAGTGCCATCTAGAGATGCGAGAGTAAATTCTAATCAACTTCTCTGACACAGCATTTTTTATCACACGTCCACTGACCCCGGCAGGAAACTGTATACGAACTACTAAGTACCTGATATTCCCATTACTTCCCCAATTTTCAGTCAATTTGCCCATGATTCCTAAAATTAACGACCATCTCATCAAGCAAGATTAAAGCTTAATTAATTTAAAACCTTTACCTGCGTCTGGCACAGCTCAGTCCAAAGTTTGGGAAACAGTGCGAGATGAAGTGGCAAACCTTCATAGGCGACTAGGACACCTAATATTTGAAAAGAATCAGAATAGGTTATAATTTTAAAAAATCACAAAAGAAAAAAAAATTCATTGCAATGTTTTAACCAGTGGAATAATTCAGAAGGCAGCATCAACAGAACGGATTTCTCTTTTCTATGTTCTGTCCTCAAAAAGATCTAAGGCAATTTAAACCAATTCTAATTTAAGAATGACAATTTCACCTGGAGCAAAGTGTTACCACAAGTGGGAAATGTGCTTGGTTTAAGTCTCGCTCAGCGTTAACAGCTCTTTTTCAAGAACGCCTAGACTTGAGGGCCCAAAGAGGGCAAACCCAAACAGAAGATGTGGAGAATTAGAAAACCACCATGCGTCCTTCTCCACTTCACTGCTCTAAAGACGTGACCAAGTACTTTTACTGAGAAAGATACAAGAACACATGAGGCTAGCAGCTCCTACAAGCTTCTGGGTGAACTGCACCTCGTGGCTCTAAGCCTCATCTCTTCACGCTATTCCAGAGATTCCTTGCCCTGTCCGACTTCTTAAAGAATGCCATAATCCTAATCCCAATTAAATTTCCCATCCTTCCTTCTTCCCCGCAAAGCAAAGCATCATGAAGAATGAGAAACTAAGACAAGCCATCCTCCAGTTAGGAAAACAATCACCAGGAGTCTGCAAACTTTTCTACAAAGGACTGAACAGTAAATACTGGGCTTTGTGGCTATTTGATCCCTGCTGGGTATTCTGTTTTGCCAGCTTGAAGCTGGGGAGCTTGAGTGTGCGGTCTGCAGGGAGCTATGCAGCCGACCACCAGAGGGCTGACCTCCCTGAATGCACCAGCAGCCTGTGGGGGAACCTGGGCAGTCTCCTCCCACGCATCTAAGAGCCCCAGAAACCCAACAGAGGGCAGGCTATGAGCAGGGTCCAGCTCACATGCCAGGGCTTCTGAATGTGAAGGCAGTCAGATGAAGAAATAGCTAAATGGGTGTGGCTGTTTTAATAAACTATTTATGAACACTGACACAAAGTATCATTCTACTTTTATTTTTCTTGCTTTATTTCAGAAATGCAAAAATTATTCTTAGCGTGAGATTGACAGTTAATACAAAAGCAATACTAGGCAACACTCAGGCTGTAGTTTGTCATCCTGTGTTCTCCAAGTTTAATCTCAATGTGAAGACTCCATAAAACCAGAACAGGGCTGCTGGCAAACTAGGGGCCACACTGGGCCTCTTTTAAAGTGATCCTGTATGCTAAAGATAATTTTTATAGTTTTAAAGTTATAAAAACAAAGTGGAAGCAGCAGAGACAACCTCTGCCATGTAAAGCCATCCGATCCTTTACAGGGAAAATCTAATCAGTCTTTGAACTGCAGGCTACTTTGACCAAGCCTTCTAAGGGGACAAGACCTGATACTTTTTCCTCTAGTTTTTAACTCAATTATTTCCACAATAGGTTTTATTCCTACTCTCTACAGGTACCAAAAAAGCTAAACCACTTTAAACCAAAAAAGCCCTCAAGCCTTTTCTGATCCCAAATCCTTTTCTAGTACCACCCTGGAACACACATCCATCCGTGCAAGTGGAGAAGAAGCCACGCTGCTATATTCCTGGTTAGGGGTCTTCTCACTCCTTTCTCCCCACAGGATGAAGAGCTCTGGTGGCCAAGTATAAGGAGATGTGCAACCAACCCAAAGGTATGCGGCTCAAAACCACAGATGCACAGAAAGACTGGCAACCTCTTTCCCTGTGATTCACAGCCTCTGTAAACCCCTGGGAGGGTCAGCCATGAGCTGGTTCCCACTAAGACAGATGGTTTGTAACAACAGATAAAGAATGATGTTACTGCCATAACCCCAGATTTATGTGATCCTGAAGCCCACAATCTTTAAGAGTCAGTCTCCATACCTGTACTAGCATTTACTTTTTTCTTTAAATTCACTGAGAGAGGTTAATAGTATGTAAGACATACCGTAAAGCAACATAACACCTAGGATACACTGTTTACCTACTTCTGTAATATAGTATTGAGTAATAAAAGCTTCCCCCCGCCTCCCCTCTGGAAGGACCCCCCCTCACGACCACTGAGTCCCTCCCAGGAGGACGAATGCTCCTCCCCAGCATCTTCACGAGGGCTGAGGATCGGGGACCCTGGGTTTTGCCAGTTGGGTTACAGGCCTGCGCCTCATACTCGCCACACTTCCTCCCACGTCCTCTGTGGTGTCTGAGTACAAAGCCCCATGGGGTGTAATCTCCACAGTGCTTTCACACAAGTCCAACATTTGTCTCAAAAAGCAAATGTTTGTGGTGACACATCCTGGCTTTTGCTCCAGGGACATTCCCTCATTCTAGACTTCCATGCATCCTCAACAAGACGCACCACCTCTTCCACCCGAGGAAGGCTAAAAGAAATGGCTGCAAACCGAGCCTTTTCTTGTAACACTTTTATATCACAGAAGCTACTGGGGACAGTTGTTTTTTTAAAAGGAAAACTTACTTCTGTAGGTAAAATGGTAATGACTGCTATGAGAATCAAACAGTTCCAATGTGTATTTGGCCTAGTGGCAAGAAGCTGTACTGTAATCTCGAAGGCACGAGGTTCAAGGCAGTCTCCTCCTGTGTGATTAACTGCCTCTGAAACCCACTGGAGGGTCAGTTATGGGTCAGTTCCAATGTGACAGTACACAGCAACATTTACTATAGTTTCTGCAAGCAGAACTGAGGTGTGATTTAACTAGTTTTCCCACAAGGTATTGACCCCAGCTGAGCAACATCCAGAAGGAGAATGAGTTCTAGTCTCTGAACAGGCTCCCGAGCAATGCTCCACTCCAAGGCTGAGTCATGAAGACATCTCAGCCCACTCACACTAGGGACCCGAGTCTTAAGTCCCTTTCTCCTCTTTAACTTTGTCCCCTAAACAACCCCACAGAGGTTACTGGGGAAGAAGGAAAAACATTTCTTAGTCCCTCAGTCCCTTCATGGAATATTCAGCTTCCTGTCTGCACCCTTTTTTAGAAATTAACGAACGAATAACCAATCATGGAATTATAAACACGTCTCTTCCATGTGATTAAAAAACCTGTTAACTGTGACGCATGGAGACCTCACGTGTGCCAGAGGAGACCGGCAGGCCTTTCTGCATGGACACTACATTTTTGGGGGTTGTTTTAGGTGCTGCTGCCCTGCCCTGGACCACCCTCCCATTGGATGTGCTCAGAGGGCCTAGCCCGCTGTCAGTCTCTGTGCCAATCCACCTTGTTGAGGGTCTGCCTCTCTCCCTGATCCGTCACCTTTCCCACCATGATGTCTTTTTCTTATTCTTTAAGTAACACTGTTATGGAATGACCAGTCAGTAAGCAGCTAGGGATGTTCAATCTCGGCATCACTCGGGCTCCTGATGCCGTCAGTCCAGGCTCAGGGGGGAGGTCATTCGGCTTGTCAGGCTGATGAAAGCTGGGTTCCCGAGCCTGCGCTGAATACACCGCTGTCTAAAGCACGTACACTGTAGGAAGTGTTCTGGAAAAGAGCCTCTTCCCAGTCAGGACCAAGGGCCCTGACACCACCAAATGGCCAAAGCATGCATCAGCTGTGCCTTTCAGAACAGACTCCTTAACTGCTACTTTTATAGATTATACCAAAAGTTTATTCTTGGCTATTTTAGGCATATTATCATGTGTAACTTGCAAAATTCTATTTCTCTTTATTATCATTTATTAAGGGAGCTCCAATGGCCTACTGGTCAGAAGCTGTGCTATAATCCCAAAGGCAAGCGGTTTGAATCCACTAGCTGCTCCTCTGAAAACCCAGTGGTTGGTCAGCTTCTCTGTGACAACACATGACAGCATCACCGCTATTAATGCAGGAAAGAGATTTTCGGAAAACTATGTTAAATAATATTGACAGTGAGATTATTATTTGTAACTGAAAATGAAATCATCTAACTTAAAAATGAAACGTATGAATTTGTTAACTTGAGGATCCTATTATTAATTTTTCATGTGAAATAGAAAATCTGGGGGCGGCAGGGGGAAGGGACAGAGTCTGCAGTTTTCTATTTCTTTCAAAATGATAGAATGCATGATCATTATAAACGTAAACAGTGCAGATATAGGACCTAAAAAAAATTTCCATACTTCTATCCTTTACAGAATATAAACTTCTGATTATTCTTCCTGTGCATGTAGTAAGAGTGATTTCACTCCCTACTTACAAAAATGCGGCCAGATACTGCTCAGTTTTCCAACCTGACTTCGTGCATTTTAATATTAGTTCCTGTCGTCTTTGTCTCAAGTCTGTACAGCATAGATGAGGGGCAGTGCACGTGCCTCACCGCCTACTGACGGACAGTCAAGTACTTTATCAATTCTAACCATTACAACGGAAGTGAGAATAAGGATCCTATAAAGCAAACACTTTGAAAGGAAACTCGCCTAGGATGGGCACCTAGTTCCTGAATTCCTGGGACCAACTAAAAAAAAAATCCCTGTCACGTCCTTAACTCTCTAAAAAGCACACTGTGATGTACGGAGCGTAGGAGGCACTCGCCTCACGTCGTCCGTCCGGCTCTCATGCTCATCCATTTCCTACCAATCTCACCTTTGTCACAAGCCCCCACAGCCTTCAATTTATTTCTAGGCTGTTTTTCCATGTCTTTCTGTACGTAGTGTTAATCACTTTTGTTTAAGGAAAAAAAAGATGAACCAACTTAAAAATTTAAAAAAAAAACAAACACAAAAAAAGGGTGTGCCCTTATTTTTTTTTGGAAGATAAACTCTAAATACTGGATGAAGTGGAAGATATGGCTTAGAATGATAATGGATACTTTTCTGATGGAGTTTTAAAATGTGTGTGTAGCAATGTTGTTGTTGTTGTTATGTGCCATCGAGTCGTTTGCCACTCATAGCGACCCTCTGTACAAGAGCCCTAAACGCCATTCTATCCTGTGCCAACCTCGCTGTCTCAAACACATTCATTCCCACCACTCCAATCACAGAATCGATCCGTCTCATTGAGGGTCTTCCTCTCCTCCGCCGTCCCTCTCCAAGGACCAGTCCCTCCTTGCAACATGCCCAAAGTACGTCAGACGAAGCTTCAGAATCCTTGACTCCAGGGAACATTCACCCTCTCCAGGACAAACCTGTTTGTTCTCCATGGTATATTCAACACTCTTCTCCAGCACCACAACTCAAAGGCATCAATTCTCTTTCTATCATCCCTATTCACTGTCCAACTCTCCGATGCATAGCATGTAATTGTGTAGCAATATTGGGGAAAACCTCCAATGACCTCAAAAAACAAAAAACCAAACCACTGTACCTTCAGTATTTCAGAAAAAAGTAGCACCAGTCCTCCTCATACTTATTTTTCAGAATTCTGTTTGGCTGAATTCAGAGTGTGCTTTCAGATGGCCGTGGGCAGCTCGGCCCCTCCTCTCTGGATTCATTGTGCTTCAACCTCACCCCTGAGCACGCCAACCCCCACCCAGCTTACTATCTGTCTGTAAATCTATTCTCCCTGCAATTGTCACCTAATTTTTTATTCCATAGCGAATCTTAAAATCGGCTTGGTTACTCATTTAAAAATCACTCTAGAGTGTTTTCCTCTAAACTAGAAATTGCCATTTAAGACAAGCTTAGAGCCAATCTTATCTAATGTCACATTATTTGTAAGGTCCTTGGGCCACTGAACCTAAAGAGTCAAATGATTAGGGACACAACTAATTTTTGTTGGCATATATAATTTACTAAGAAAATCTAAAAGCTAGAACTCTTTAGAGGCAAGAATGGACATGTTTCATCTCATTCAATCTGGGCCTATTTTCAGGAGGAACTAGCCCTTAGAAAAAGCCATCATGCTGTGAAAGGCCGAGGGTCTTCAAGGAGACACTGACACAGCGACCTAACAATGGACTTCGTCTGAGAGCAATTGTGAGGATGGTACAGGTCAGGGGAAAGTCACATCTGTGGTTGCCACTGAGTCACAGCTGACCTGACAGTGCCCAACATTAACCTTCTACTCCCTTTAAAGCCATGAATATTGTTATCTTTGAGTTCTCAAGTCTCTTGCTAAGTCTTTCTCCTCAGAAACAGTCACTTCAGCCAGAGGCATCAACTTCAAACTCTGTAACATTTAGAGAGAACATGAATTTAGCACGGCTTTTAGGTCTTTATCCAACTTTACATCCAGATAATTTCTCATTTTTTCCCTGCTCAATCTGTGAAGTTTCAGTTTGAAACCTGGAGCTATACTGTTCAATTAAGTAACCACCAGTCACATCTGACTACTGAACTTTAATTTGGGTAAAAACAAAACAAAGCTTCCATGACTAAGGTGCCTCTGAGTCTCCAGAGACGCACGTGCGCGGGGGCACTGTCTGGCAGTCTCCCTCATCTTGGAAATGTCTGCAGTGATGCCGACCCAGAGGACTCACACTTTATGGTTTTAAGAGGGATGTGACTGATGAAATGTCAGCACCAAAGTTAATCCTACTCATGATGGCAGCAGAGTCCTTTTCTTCCATCCCTTCTTTCACCTCCAAGTTTAAGTTCCCAAAATTTGTATTGTTGAAGGAATACCACATCAACAGAGCAGAAAAGTCACGAGTGAGTCTAAGCTGTTTGAGCACCTAGAGGAGTTCACTTAACTTCTGACATGAACGATGTGAACAGTTTTTCACTAGATCAGTGTGTCTACCACGTCACTTCTCCATCTGGGAGCAAAGCTGTGTTACTTCGACTTCTGGATGTTTCCTCACACTTCATCACCAGGCTCTAAGTGCTTGCCAAGTGCCTCTATCCAGAGGTGTAGCCTTGCAATAGCCAAATTTGTCCGACTCTCACTCTCCCACACTCTGGCACTTCAGCTCATATCAAGGAAGGATATCAGGTAGGTAGAACTCATCCAATCTGACAGTGCATTAAACTCATCCACAAAAAAGGGCTTTTCTAAACAAGAATGAGCAACAGCTGCTACCTATTCCATCTTGAAGCTGAAGGTAGGTTCACATTTGCTCGACTGTTGAATGGAATAACAATCTTTACCTCAGAAAGAAGGGGCTGAGGCTGGGGAGGAGCACAGAGAGTAGACCTCAGAAGTTGGTAAAACTCTCAACCTTCCTGCTGTGATTCCAACACAAGGTGACCTCCGTTAGGTCCCTGAGGTTGTGAACCCTAAAGAAGGACACTGCTCAACTGTCTCCAGGGGCAGCTAACGATGCCAACTGCCCACGTGCACGTGTTTGTTAGTGGCTACTTTTGAAACATGCTTCTCACTTTACTTTGTTTCTTGACCTGGGTTGGGGTTGCCTGAGCATTCCACAACCCCAAACCACTATCCTGAGAGGAGCCTAGCTCTCCCTACTGAAGCCAAGGGAACAAATGCCTGGGAACCCGGGAGGGCCTGAGGCAGGGACAATCTGGCGGAGGAGCAAGATGTCTTGTGAAGACTTGTCAGTGAGAAAGAAGACATGTCAGTGAAGCAGGCCTCCAGGGACACAGGCAGGATCAAGAAAGGGTTTTTTCTCTACCAACATGATTCACAGATGATTTTCTGTTTCTCACATCTCTCCTCTATTGAGATTACCCTTCATCTCATTCAGTGCTCTATCAGACGCCTTACCTCCTGATGACTCAGACATGCACCTCAGCTTCACCTGCTAAGTCCACTCAGCCTGCTCTTGGTGTTTGCTGGCTCCATGATGTCATCTCCCCTCCTGACCAGGGGAGGGGGCAGTATGTCCAGCTGTACAGACATCCCCTCCCATCTCAACCAGGGCTGGTGGGGGAGGGGGTCCAACTGTACAGACATGCACTCCTCTCCTGACCAGGGCTCTGTGTGTGTGTTTCTAACTGTACAGGTGTCGCCGCCCCTCCAGACCAGGGCTGGGGGGGAGGTGTTCTTCCCTTCTTAAGGAGAGTGGTTGAAGCTGTTCTATTTCACTTGTAGTTTTGTTGAGCAGATGTTGGATTTGGGTTTCTGCCAATAGTGGCTGTCAGCCCGACTCCACCCTCCTTTACAGGCCAGCTGAAATGCTGGGCAGAAATAGGCAATGGAAACCAGTAATTTGGTGTTTTCATAATATTCCCTAGAATAATATTTTCAAATACTCACTTTACAAAAAAGGGAGGAAAAAAACATTGTCTTATTTTAAGAATGGCTAGGAGTTTGTACTAATTCAGTGGGATTTACTGGTCATCTTTTATACTTACTCAGCTTAACTAATGTTTCAGTAAATTTTTCACAGTTGATTGCAACTCGGCATAACAGATGAATGAACTGATGGTAAGAAAAGAAGTAGTCTAGCAGCACACGGTCATAAACGTCATCTTTGCCCTGAAGGGAAACATGATAAAATGGTTGCACTTAAATCGTAGAAGAAACTGAAGAGCATATTTGTGCGAATGTAATAAATTTAATTAAAAAGTTGATTAAAGATTTAAATTCTCTAAGACCCTACTACTGTTGGTAAGATCTTAATTGTCCTAAGTTTACTTTAGTGTGTAAATGCGGCCAATAAAGATTACCCATTATATTTAAATACAAGCAACATTTCTGTAAGAGTTGTAAACATGATAGTTCTGCTCTACAGACAGATTGAGAAGAATGAATTCAACCTGATTTTTTTTTAATGGTTACTTCTCAAGTACACTGAAGATCCAAAGATGGAGGGGCTGGTTAAGAGTGGGAGTCAAGTGTGGCAGAATGAAGATAAACTGGGAAAATTTAGGAATTCCTGAAGGCAGGACCAGGCCTGAATTATCGTGTGCCACTGTACCTTCTTCCTATCGACTTCAGATTAGCACAATTTTACAATCATCATTGGACACACCAAACTAATGATGATGAGGGAATCTGCAACTGCGAGATCAGACGTAAGCCCGAGGACCACTGACGACAGTAAGGGCAGCTGACACAGTCTGTCTCTGACTTTCCTTTCCAGGTACAGGAACATGACCCAGTCATAATCTAGCCTACTGACAAGTCCTAAGGCTTTCTAGCGGGGAACTCTTAAAGGTGGGGCGGTGGGAGTTACCACTTATGCTTATTGTTTATTTTGCATATATTCAAATCAACATTTCAGAGCTCTAAAACAAAAAAGTCCAAATGTCCAAGAATCGTTTTTAAGGTTCAAAAAGGTCACTTCATTTCTTATTTTCCTAACTGCCAGAGAGGAAATTTTAAACTACTTTGCACTATAGAAATATGGATTCCCTAGCATCCCAACATACCTTACTAGTTTCCACCATTGTGGGCAACAGGCACATATTGAGTTCAGGGCGCGGGGGCCGTACATTGCTTTTCCCTCCTATTAGCTTGATATTT